GGACACCCAAGACGGGACGGTTGTGGCAGAGAGGTCAGACCAAGCGTGATCCCTGGGGAAGGCATGGCAAACCACTCCAGTATCCTTGCCAAGAAAACTAAATGGACCAGTACAACCAGAGATATGTCGGTATGCCATTGGAAGATGGGACTCCCAGGTCGGAAGATGGCCAAAATGCTACTGGGGAGGAGCAGAGGATAAGTTCAACTAGCCCAGATGTGATGACGCAGCTAGCTCAAAGCCGAAAGGAAGGCTAGGGGCCGACGGTACTGGAGGTGAACGACGAATCCGATGCTCTAAAGATCAACACACCATAGGAACCTGGAATGTAAGATCTATGAGCCAGGGCAAATTGGATGTTGTTATTGGCGAGATGTCAAGACTAAAGATAGACATTCTGGGGGTCAGCCAACTGAAATGGACTGGAATGGGCCACTTCACATCAGATGACCACCAGATCTACTACTGCGGACAAGAGGAACATCGAAGAAATGGAGTAGCCTTCATAATTAATAAGAAATTCGCTAAAGCGGTGCTTGGATACAACCCAAAAATGACAGAATGATCTCAATTCGAGTGCAAGGAAAGCCTTTCAACATTACAGTGATCCAAATATACGCCCCAACCACAGCTGCTGAAGAAGCAGAAGTAGATCAGTTCTATGAGGATCTGCAGGACCTACTGGATAATACACCAAAATGAGACATTATTTTCATTACAGGAGACTGGAATGCCAAGGTGGGAAGTCAAATGACAACTGGGATCACAGGCAAGCATGGTCTGGGAGAACAAAATGAAGCGGGACGCAGGCTGATAGAATTTTGTCAGGAAAACTCGCTGTGTATAACAAACACTCTCTTCCAACAACCTAAAAGACGGCTTTACACATGGACCTCACCAGACGGTCAACACCGAAATCAGATTGACTACATCCTTTGCAGTCAAAGGTGGCGGACATCCATCCAGTCGTGAAAACAAGACCTGGGGCTGACTGTAGCTCAGATCACGAACTTCTTATTGCCCAATTTAGAATAAAACTAAAGAGATCAGGGAAAATACACAGACCAGTTAGATATGATCTCACTAACATTCCTAGCGAATATACAGTGGAAGTGAAGAACAGATTTGAAGGACTAGATTTAGTAAACAGAGTCCCAGAAGAACTATGGACAGAAGTCAGAGACATTGTTCAGGAGGCGGCAACAAAGTACGTCCCAAAGAAAAAGAAAACCAAGAAGGCAAAATGGTTGTCTGCTGAGACACTGGAAGTAGCCCAAGAAAGGAGGAAAGCAAAAGGAAACAGGGATAAGGGGAGATATGCCCAGTTAAATGCGCAATTCCAGAGGTTAGCCAGAAGAGATAAGGAACTATTTTTAAATAAGCAATGCATGGAAGTGGAAGAAGACAACAGAATAGGAAGGACAAGAGACCTCTTCCAGAAAATTAGAAACATTGGAGGTAAATTTCAGGCAAAAATTGGTATGATAAGAAACAAAGATGGGAGGGACCTAACAGAAGCTGAAGAGATCAAGAGAAGGTGGCGAGACTATACAGAAGATCTGTATAGGAAGGATAATAATATTGAGGATAGTTTTGACGGTGTGGTGAATGAATTAGAACCAGACATCCTGAGGAGTGAGGTTGAATGGGCCTTAAGAAGCATTGCTAACAACAAGGCAGCAGGAGATGACGGGATCCCAGCTGAACTGTTTAAAATCGTAAAAGATGATGCTGTCAAGGTGATGCATGCCATTGCCAGCAAATATGGAAAACACAAGAATGGCCATCAGACTGGAAAAAATCAACTTATATCCCCATACCAAAAAAGGGAAATGCGAAAGACTGCTCAAACTTCCGTACAGTGGCCCTTATTTCTCATGCCAGTAAGGTAATGCTCAAGATCCTGCAAGGAAGACTCCAGCAAAACATGGAGCGAGAGTTGCCAGATGTTCAAGCTGGGTTTAGAAAAGGTAGAGGAACAAGAGACCAAATTGCCAATATCCGCTGGATAATGGAGAAAGGGAGGGAGTTTCAGAAAAACATCTACTTCTGCTTCATTGACTATTCTAAAGCCTTTGACTGTGTGGATCATAATAAATTGTGGCAAGTTCTTAGTGGGATGGGCATCCCAAGCCACCTTGTCTCTCTCCTGAGGAATCTGTACAAGGACCAAGTAGCAACAGTAAGAACTGACCATGGAACAACAGAGTGGTTCAAGATTGGGAAAGGCGTACGGCAAGGCTGCATCCTCTCACCCAACCTTTTTAACTTGTATGCAGAACACATCATGCGATGTGCGGGGCTTGATGAATGCAAAGCTGGGGTGAAAATTGCTGGAAGAAACATTAACAACCTCAGATATGCAGATGACACCACTATGATGGCCGAAAGCGAGGAGGAGCTGAGGAGCCTTCTAATCAAGGTGAAAGAAGAAAGCGCAAAAGCCGGGTTGCAGCTAAACATCAAAAAAACCAAGATTATGGCAACAAGAATGATTGACAACTGGAAAATAGAGGGAGAAAATGTGGAGGCCGTGACAGACTTTGTATTTCTAGGTGCAAAAGATTACTGCAGATGCAGACTGTAGCCAGGAAATCAGAAGACGCTTACTTCTTGGGAGGAGAGCAATGTCCAATCTCGATAAAATAGTGAAGAGTAGAGACATCAGACTGGCAACAAAGATCCGCCTAGTCAAAGCCATGGTATTCCCTACCTACGGATGGATACGAGAGCTGGACCATAAGGAAGGCTGAGCTGAGGAAGATAGATGCTTTTGAACTGTGGTGTTGGAGGAAAATTTCAAGAGTGCCTTGGACTGCAAGAAGATCCAACCAGTCCATACTATAAGAAATAAAGCCCACTGCTCATTGGAGGGAAGATAGTAGAGGCCAAGATGAAGTACTTTGGCCACATCATGAGGAGACAGGAAAGCTAGAGAAGACAATTATGCTGGGGAAAGTGGAAGGCAAAAGGAAGAGGGGCCGACCAAGGGCAAGATGGATGGATGGCATCCTTGAAGTGACTGGACTGACCTTGAGGGAGCGGTGGTAACGGCCGACAGGGAGCTCTGGCGTGGGCTGGTCCATGAGGTCACGAAGAGTCGGAGACGACTGAACGAATGAACAACAACATTCCAAACTGCACTTACTTTTTGTTAGCTTAAAATATTTTAACCTCAGCATTAAATAAACTCTAAAAGTTTCCTATAACTGTTTGAATTTATTAAGGTACCTGATGTGAAACTAATAATTATGAAAAAAATACATGTATGATTTCTTAAATGATTTCATTACTTTAAATGTGGTCAGAGCAGACTCTATTTCTAGGTCTCACTGTACTGAAAAGCTCCTTTAATTGTTTTTTGGGGAAAAGCTATAATTTTTGGAGAAAAATACTTAGGCAGTTTTGGAGCAACAGAAGATAGGTAACATGTGTTGACTTTTTTTTGAAGAATTTAGTGCATTAATGTTTTTTGCTACACCATTTGGACATGGTGTATTTCAGACTTCTATTCACTGTTTCTTGTATTTGGATATAGAACTTCATGATGTGGATGATACATGTGATGTTGGAGCCATAATAGTTGGATCCCCAAATATATATTCTTTTGTAAAATACAAGCATGTACATTATGTCTGGCCCACTTTTCATATATGACTTTTAATCTCCATGCTAGGAAGACAATATACAAAACAGTCCCAAATTCAAGATGGAAATAATATTCTAAAATATTAAGAAATGTCTGAACATGCTTTCACTAGTGTTGAGAAGCTCTGACTTAAAGAATTCTGAACTGATGGAAAGCTTCATTGTTCATGATTTATTTTGCACAGAACCCACAAAACATGGTGGTTTTGCACAGAATACAACTGCTTTATAAAAACAGCATTTTGTCTACAGAAAATGCCATCTCCTTTGCAGAAAATGCTGGAGTGGGTGCATAAAAATGCCCCTTGCAATTTTAGCACTGTATAAGTCTCAAAGAACGAAAAGTTCACTGTTTTTGAAAGCTTTTTCACATCAAGAAGAAAATTACTAAAATTACTTACTGCTTCTTTAAAGAAGAATATTAACACAAATTACATCCTAAATATGTATTTTGCTGTGTCTAATTTTCTATTGTTTTGTATATTATCTTGTTGTAATTTTATTGGACTTGGCCTCATGTTAGCTGCCTCGAGTCCCCATTGGGGAGATGGTGGTGGGTTATAAATAAAGATTATCATCATCATCATCATCATCATCCTAATCTGAATTCAAGGAGGCTAGTGCCATGACTGTTAACCTGGAGTTAGTTCAATGAAGGTAGAGCTTTGTGATAAGTGTGGTCCCATAATCATACAGTTGGGGGAGATCACAAGAGGCATCCAGACCAACCCACTGCCATGCAGGAATACATAATCAAAGGATTCCTGACCGGTGGCCATCCAACTGCTGTTTTAAAAACCCCAGAAAATGAGACTCCACCGCTCTGTAAGAAAACATATTCTACTACCGAACAGCTCTTACCGTCAGGAAGTTCTTTCTAATGTTTACATAGAATCTCTTTTCCTTCAATTTGAATCCATTGTTCTGAGTCTTAGTCTCCAGAGCAGCAGAAAACAAATCCACTCTCTCTTCCTTACGACATCCTTTCAAATATTTAAACATGGCTATCATGCCCTCTTTCAACTTTCTCTTCTGCAGGCTTAACACAGCTACTAACCGCTTCTCATAGGGCTTGGTTTTCAGACCTTTGACTATTTTGGTCACCCTTCTTCGGACACGTTCTAGCTTGTCAGTATCCATCTTATATATTTATGTATAAAACAAAATTTAGAAATGACCCTCAATTGCCCGTATTCTCTTCACACAAGAAAAGGCATCACAGTAGCAGAGGTACTCAATTTCCCACCACCTGGAGAATTGGAGTTACCGTGTTACAAATAGTATTAGGTTGCAGATGGGAATCAGTTGCACTGTAATCTTTCAGTGGCCTCTTAATATCTGTTTCCCTGTAGTGTGATAGCACACAACAAAGAAGAACTGAAGAAATATGGCATCACTCACATTCTGAATGCGGCACATAATGCCTGGGGAAGCAAAGGAAACCAAGCCTTCTATGGCAAGGAATTCTTTTACTATGGAATAGCAGCTGAAGACGCCACAGATTTTGACCTGAGCATATATTTCTATCCTGCCTCTGAATACATTCATAAAGCACTAAGTTCTCCGAAAGGTGAGTGCCTCTTCTAAAACATAAAGCATTGTGGTGCACAGGTTCATTCATAAGCCTTAGGGCTATTGTTGTTTGGTCCCTTGATGTCATTTCTGACTTCTGACTTCCTTTATGGAATGCCATGCCCAAGGTCACACAGTGGGTTTCTATTTTTCCATTGGCATGCTTCAACATTCAAACCAACACTGTTTCAATCTGGGTTGTTGTAGGTTTTTCCGGGCTATATGGCCATGTTCTAGAGGCATTTTCTCCTGACGTTTCGCCTGCATCTATGGCAAGCATCCTCAGAGGTAGTGACCTCACTACCTCTGAGGACGCTTGCTATAGATGCAGGCAAAACATCAGGAGAAAATGCCTCTAGAACATGTGGCCATATAGCCCAGAAAAACCTACAACAACCCAGTGATTCCGGCCATGAAAGCCTTCGACAATACACTATTTCAATCAATTATTTCTTCATAATAATCTACCTCCAAAGATTTCTTGTAGGAATTCTGTCCAATGATAGCATAGTTTATGGATACTATGCTATGCTTGAGAGAGAGCCAGACCCAGAAGAAAGCTGACTGGAAAAGAAAGGAAGCAATCCCTAAGACTATCAACCTACATTGCAAACAAAGGCAGAGCATGTAGCAAAGTCAGGAAACATCTAAGGGTTCATCTACACCAGTGGTTCCCAATCTGTGGTCCGCGGACTACCAGTGGTCCACAAGAACTAAAATATGGTCACAATCCTTTTGATACTAATGTTGAAGAGTGGTCCCTGGTCAAATTAGTTCAAGTGGTCCTTGGTAAAAAAAAAAAAGTTGGGAACCACTGATCTACACTGTAGAATCAATGCAGTTTGACACCATTTTAACTGCCATGACTCAATACTATGGAATCCTGGAGTTATAGTTTAGTGGGGCACCAGCATTCTTTGGCACTAAAAGCTAAATATTTTGTAAAACTACAATTCCCATTATTCCATAGCATTGAGCCATGGCAGTTAAAGTGGTGTAAACTGCATTAATTCTACAGTGTAGATGCATTTTTGGTCATCCTAAGTATTTGGTTCAATTACCACATCTCCATTAGGAGTTCTTGGTTCTTTGGGCAAAGCTTTGTTGCATTATTCTCCAAATCCAACACTATACTTCTCTCCCCGCCCCCACTCCCATTTATTCAAATTCTTAGGAATCATAAAGTAAAAGGAAAAAATATCTCAAAGCAGTGAATGTGGTGTTGTCATTATTATTCTTATTCATTTTTCCACCCAGGAAAGATTCTAGTTCACTGCATTCTAGGTAAAAGCAGATCAGCAACCCTGGTTCTGGCATATCTCATGATCCATCACAATTTCACCCTGGCTGATGCTGTTGAAAAGATTCTGCTGAGTCGAGCCATTTCCCCAAACAGAGGGTTCCTGAAACAACTGCAAGACCTGGAGCTGGAACTGAGGCACAGGATAAGTTTGTGTCAACTTCAGTAACGTCAAATCATCTAATTGATAATTTTGTCTTACCGCAGTCATGGCACCACTATTAATTAAACTTACATGGACATGTTTGTATGTTTCCTTGATGTGGAATTAAGGCTCCATCTCACTGCCATATAGTCCGGTTTCTGAATCCAGATTATCTGCTTTGAACTGGATTATATGGCAGTATAAATGAGGCCTTAGTTCAGAAACTGGATTATATGGAGGTGTAGCTCCTGTCTGAGTAGGTTCTTTTTTAAACAATTCAGTGTATAGACCTGGAAATCTAAATTGTAGAACATGTGATAATATACTCATTTACTGGATTTCTTTTAGGGTGATTAAATGTGTAGTTTTTAAAGACTAAAATGTTTTGTAGTACTTCAAATATATTTCAGTAATCCTTACAACACTTATGTATGATAGATCTATAAATGAGAATAACGTTTAGAATTACTCTGTGAAAACATGACAAAGATTAAGGATACATCCAAACGGAGAGGTCTACGGTAATGTGCAATTACTCTGTCCTTCTCCCTTTAATATATGTTTGTCAAAAGAACAAAGATTGAAGAAATGGTGGGAAGACATCATAAGATTACAAATGAAACAAAACAGACAGAATGCCTAATGCGATTGAAGGAAATGTTATACAACAGGGATGAGATATATATGTCCTTCCAAGTGTTCTTGAACATCAACTTCCAGCCAATAGTAGGAAAAGCTAGGGATTGTGCTCCATCAACTTTTATTGTGACCGACACACCTGAAAACAAGGGTGCATCTACTTGGGCAATAAAATTCCAGCCCAGCTTTTTTACCATCCCAAACTGGCAGGGCTATTCTGGCTTTTCAGGGAATCGAAGGAGTATTTTCTGACTTTGCCAAATGCAGGCACATCCCCATTAAGGGGCCATGCCCTGTGTTGACAGTGTGATAGCTCTGTGCATCCTATAAATGCTATGGAACTGATTCTCACAAAATTCAGGTTAAAAGACTCATATAGCTATGTCCTAAGTTCAAGAGCATTTACATATAGGTGAGATCTAACCTTTGTTGACATTCTTGTTGAGATTGTCAGGTAGGTGATATTTGATGATGTAATTGCTAGGAAACCTTTGAACCTCATTGAGATCAACCCAAGCCAACTGGAAGATCTAGTTTTTAGGTCAAATGGTTGTAACCTGCACGTCAGTAAACCTCCTGGAAATGCCTCTCTCTGATCAAATACTAGAGAAGGAACATATTGGAAAGGTGGAGGAACGGAACTACAGTTAGCCACTATTCTTGATCGGAGTTTACCTAAGGATATGAAGAATGATCATTACATCACTGAGGACTTCATCAGAAAGGCCAGACGAAGCGTCCCGCTTCACCTGTAAAGTAAAGGTAAAGGTTGTCCCCTGAGATTAAGTCCAGTCATGTCTGACTCTGAGGGTTGGTGCTCATCTCCATTTTTAAGCCAAAGAGCCAGTGTTGTCCATAGACACCTCCAAGGTCATGTGGCCAGCATGACTGCATGGAGCGCCGTTACCTTCCCGCCAGAGCAGTACTTATTGATCTACTCACATTTGCATGTTTTTGAACAGCTAGTTTGGCAGAAGCTGGGGCTGACAGCGGAAGCTCACGCTGCTCCCCGGATTAGAACCTGCGACCTTTCGGTCAACAAGCTCAGCAGCTCAGCGTTTTGACCCACTGCGCCACCGGGGGCTCCGCTTCACCTGGCATTGCGGCAAAAAGTGAAGGGTCAGTGGTGCGAATCTGTTGCCCCACACGCAGCATCCTCTCAATGATGTTTTCCCCATCAGATGTGGGAAGCATCACCATTCTACAGAGGACCTGTGCTATCTCCATTGGATCCAGGGCAACACAGGAAGCCTCCCGTGTTGTGGGCGAAGCCTCGAGCAATGCTTCCACCCAGCTGCAGCACCTTCCTGTATTTGAACTATATCCATTATAGTCTCTGCAGGCAGGGTGCAAACATTATTTCAATTTTTTTTTTACATTATCCCCTCAAATCAATGAACACCAGTATCTCTCATGGAGGAAAATGGTATAATTCTGAAATTACTGATACATATTTTACATTTGTACAATTTCCATTTTTGTTCAATAATGCACAGAAAAGTCACACACATTTACTGTTTCATGCATTTTTGGTCATCAATACAGGAATGATCACGTAAATCTTATTTCTTTAAATATTGTTTTAATGGACTCAGATGGATACAAACATAAGGCCCATTAACTTTACATCTTTATTTGTGAGAATTTTTTCCTTCATTGCAATCTTATGAATTAGCCCCAACATTGATTCACTTGAAAGTTCAATAGAGAAGGATGAGAAAGTGTGACTTGCCCAAGTTCATCCAGTAGGATTACATGGCAGTGCAGGGATCCAAATTCTTGGAGTCGTAATCTCCAGCCTAGCCTGTGTAGTTTAGTTGACTCAATTTCAAGGTAGTTGTCCTCAAGTCCAATTCTGTAATTCCTGTCATATAGTATTATTATTATTATTACTATTATTATTATTATTATTACTATTACTATTGACAGAATTCCTTGCTTGCTTTATCAATTAATCTAGAATGCTCTGTTTAATTATTTAAGGTTATTTAGAAACGTACTATCATACTTTGTCAAACTATCTAAACCATCATCATTATTAATAGACTAGTGGTCCCCTGCCACGCGTTGTTGTGGCCCAGTCTGGTGATCTGGAAAATAAAGTAATGAGAAAGTGTTGGTTTCTAATATATGTAATTTCTTTCTTCTTGTGGGTGAACAGTATTTCTTGCTGTTTCTTTGGCAGTGTTGATGTGGAGATTGTCTGGTTTGCCTACTCTGGAACATGCAACATATCATTGTTCTTCTTCAGGGGTCCCTTTCAAATCTATGATACTGCAGCTGTCATATACATATATGTGTGTGTATGAATGGCTGGATGGCTCTTTGTCAGGAGGACTTTGATTATGTTTTCTTGCCCTGTTGAAGGGAGTTGAACTGGGTGGCCTAAAGGCAGCATTTCTCAACCTGGGAAGTCAAGACCCCGGGGGGCTCACCAGGGGGGAGTCAGAAGGGTCACCAAAGACCACCAGAAAACACAGAATTTTCTGTTGGTCATGGGGATTCTGTGTGGGATGTTTGGCCCAATTCCATCGTTGGTGAGTTTGGAATGCTCTTTGAGTGTAGGTGAACTATAAATCCCTATAAATGCAACTCCCAAATGTCAAGGTCTAGTTACCCCAGATGCCATCTGTTTTTATATTTGGGCATATTGATTATTCATGCCAAGTTTGGTCCAGATCCATCATTGTTTGAGTCCACAGTGTTCTCTGGATGGAGGTGAACTACAATTCCAAAATTTAAGGTCAATGCCCACCAAACCCTTTCAGTATTTTCTGTTGGTCATGGGAGTTCTGTGTGCCAAGTTTGGTTCAATTCCATTGTTGGTGGAGTTCAGAATGCTCTTTGATTGTAGGTGAACTATAAAACCCAGCAACTGCAACTCCCAAATGACAAAATCATAATTTTTTGAGTGATGGTCACTTCTTGTGTAGTGAGACGTTTTGTTGCCAAATGTGGTGTAATTTCGTTCATTGGTTCTTTTGTTTTTAAGGTACTCATTATGCACAGAGCATTTTATATATATATAGATTATTAATTATACTGAATCCATCATTAAAGTGAAAAATATAGTCCATTCATTATAGATAAGGAAAATGAATCTGAAAGGAGGGAAAATCACATACCAAAAAGTCAATTGGGGAGAGGGGGGAGGGAGAGAGGGAGAGAATGTACTACCCGAACACAGATGAGTCATTGTGGGATATCTCCTACGCACGAATATTGCCAACTTTGGAGTAAATTAAAGGGTTGTTCTTAATATGCTTTAGTTTCTCCTGTAACAACAAACATGCCATGGCATCTTTTTATGGGACTTCTTGCGTTTGTATGTTAGTCGGAAAATAGTTATACAGATGCTCGGGCCTTTCATACAGATTTCATAACCATAAGGTAATCTCTATCATTTAGACTCCTAAAATGCTGCGTGTGTGTACTTCAAGGAAACACGTGTACTATGAAAAATTTGGAAACAGGACACCAGTTCCACAAAATAGGGCATCCAAAGTGTACCACAAATGGCTAGGGAACCTTTCCAAACCACCAAGAGAGCTAAAATGTATCACACATAATTAGCTTTAAGCTAATTGGTTTAAGTCTGAAAAAAGACACATTTATTATTCTTCCCTTTGAAAGGACAGATGAGAAATGTATCTCCAAATGGTGAGGTAATTCGATGGCAACTACAACCTGACCCTTGGCATATGTGAAGCTCAAGCATAATTATCAGGGGGGCAGAGGGACGGGGGTGGTCTCATAAGTATCAGCTTTTTAGCTCAAAACATTCAAATGTGAGATGGTTGATTTTGTCTTGGAAGAGGCACACATGCAATAAAATACATGCAGCTATAGTACCATCATTTACAAATATACAGCTATGAAGGTGGAGCAGATAGTAAGCTACCACATATACGGACTGTTTTAGGCAGAAGGGCTTTAGCTATGGAAAACATTGGGGTAATAGAAGTACCATGTTTTAGCCATGACAAGACCTCATTCCAAGCTACGGAGGCAATTTTGGGATACTTGAAAAATGTGGAACAGTAATCTAAAGCCTTATTGATCAAGACCCTTCTGCCCATCATTCAGTTTAAGACAACCTCAAGAGCTAGTTAAGATAAAAGTAAAGTACAGCTGTATCAACAGCCACATTTTGAATCCGGCTCAGTTTTTAGGATCCGTCTCTTCTAAGGACCACATCACATGAAGACTTCCTCCTGTTTCTTCACACTTTAAAATCGGAGTCCCAAGAATGCCATCAGATGACTCATTATTATTTCCAGGTGTTGATCAACGGGGCATTTTTGGAGTCAGGTAACTGCAGTCTGTACGTGCTTAGAAGTGTGAAAAGATGCAAAGTTTAATGTATAATGGCAATTGTTGTATTTCTCCATGTAATTAGCATTTTATGAAGTTTATTTATTGGTATTCAAGTGGGCAGTCTTCGGTTTTCCTCAATTCTACTTGCCCCACAAGGATACACCCTTCAACAGCAATAAAAAAACAACTATATGATGAAATTATCAAAATTTCATAATATTGAATATTTCCCAAAAATCTGAGATATT